TGGCATTTTTGGGTGGGTTTATGCATGTTCGGGCGTTATTCTAAGTTTAGGGCTTGTCTTTAGGGCTTTGTATATTGGTTTCTTGATGTTCTTGAGGTTCTTGATGCTCTTGAACCATTATGTGTTTATCTTTGAGTCTTGGCATGCTTAGAGTTTGCGTTTAGGCTTCAATTGCATTGTTTCTTGGCTTGTTCTATGTGTTCAAAGTCCCTATTGTTGTTGGTATGTGTTTGGGTGTGTTTGGGACTTGATTTTGGGGAAATTGGATGAATTCTCGGGTTGGGAAAATTGGAAAGAAACACATTCCAGCGGGTAGTCGGTCGGGGGACGAACCCCCACTCGACCACCCGCCGGATAGGGTTGGTTGTTCTAGCGGGAGGGCGGGTGGACGGCCACCTGTCGGTCCACCCGTTGGAACCATGAACCGCCACCGACGGGGGGACGGGCGGGTGGACGGTCGCCCGCGGGTACGGGCCGGTGCGGGGTCGTTCGGCCTCCGCGGGCCGAACCCCGTGCCCCGAGGTGTCTTCGTTGATGTTTTTGGGTTTAGTATGATGTCTTGTGTGCCGTAATGTGAATTGTGAGTCGTGTGTTTGCATGTGGTCCATGCTCGTATCGTGTGGTGCTAAGAGTATGGTCTATAGTGGTCCTTTTGTGTCTTATGGTCGCCTTGATGGCGCTTGTTGTTGAGAGTCAATGTGCATGATGAACCCTTCCCCGATTATCCCCTTGTGGAGTCATTGTTGAGTCTTGCGTGTGTGTTGTTCTCCATGATGAAAATAAAAGATATGAGATTGGTGGTAAAAACTATGATTGGTGGTTGATGCACTGGGCGTGCTTGTGTGTGATGGTACTGCGGTACCGGTGTGTGATTTAAAGGCATCACAGATGCTATGAGATCGGTGGTTATGTAGGAGGTCTTATAGGCGGGGGGCATGCGTTTCCCCGGAGGGATAATTATGTGGTGTGTAGGGTGGCCTGGAGGTACAGGTTGGAATTGTTATAAGGTTGGAGAAGCGTAAAGGTTGGAACTTGGTATAAGGTTGGAACATGGATATGTTTGTGTTACTTATTGTTGTCGAGTCTTATTATTGTCTTGCTTTGTGGTCTTCACTGCATGCTGTGTCTTTATGTGCCTTGTCGTGTCGGGTCTATTGATATACTTTGAGCCTGATTCCTGGTTTTGAAGTTAGAGTCATTTAGGACTATATTATGTATTCCCAAGTCTCAAAATGATTTCTTATATCTATATGTATTGTACTCAACGCGTGGGAGTGTGTTGCTTAGCATTATTCGCTAATGGTTGTAATACCGCATGTTTTTCAGGTGCTGGTTAGTCAATCGCGAGCGCGCTAGAAGGAGATGCGGTTCCTAGCTTAGTTAGTCGGCCTGTGAGCCATGTTTGTATTCGGATAATGATTATGGATTATACCTTGTTTAGTTAGTTTAGCATGTGCATCTAAGTCCTCTAACTTACATGTGGCATAGCACCCCAACACTGATATTTAGCTTCCGCTCTGTTTGGGTATTAATGATAGCTTTGTCTTTATTTCATAAGCTTTAATGGTTTTAAATTATGCTAAAAATTGGGGGTGTTACAACGACACCATCCAAAATGAACCTCTTTATTCACTGACTGCGGCACCATTTCGTCTATGACCGAGGTACGCCCACCAGACGCATGTTCGCATCCACAGCTTGGTAAGATCTGCCTCAACGGACGAGGCATGAGGTCCTCATCATTTGAATAAGAGACCAACCAATCCCTCACCGCCCTAGAGTCGTCATCTTCGTCTGAAGACACCTCTATCAGAAAAGTCTGAGAGTCCCCTTAATAGGCACCAACGTGAGGGCGAACCTGCGGTTAAGTGTTTCCCGTGCGGAGTTAAGTTCTCGTGCAGTTAAGTGTTTCCCGTGCGGTTGTGCGGTGAGTAATGTGCGTGAGTCTTGTGCTTAAGATGCGTGAGTTTTGTGCTTAAGGTGCGTGAGTGTGTACTTAATGTGAGTAGTTGTTGAAACTTAAGGTGCATGAGTCTTGTACTTAAGGTGCGTGAGTCTTGTGCTTAAGGTGTTTGAGTCTTGTGCTTAAGGTGCGTGAGTTTTGTGCTTAATGTGAGTAGTTCGTTGTTGAAACTTAAGGTGCGTAAGTTTTGTACTTAAGGTGCGTGAATTTTGTGCTTAAGGTGCGTGAGGTTTGTACTTAAAGTGCGTGAGTTTTGTGCTTAAGGTGCGTGTGTTTGTGTTCTTAGGTGTTTTGTTTGTGTGCTTAATGTGCATGTGTTGTATACTTAAAGTGCGTCAGTTTAATGCTTAATGTGCGTCCAACCGCACGGAAAGCCCTCCCCGCACCTGATCCCTTCCACACACACACACACACACACACACACACACACACACATATATATATATATATATATATATATATATATATATATATATATATATATATATATATATATATATGTATGCATAAATGCACCACATAGTGTTCGAAAATACACCATTATGTGTGGTGTATTTTTTAATTTTTTTTTTGTGGTGCATTTTTTGGCATTTCATTCTGGTGTATTCTCGAACACTGTATGGTGCATTTATGTATAACTAATGGTGTATGCCGCACTGACCGCACGGGAAAACCTGTTCTCACAGGAACCATAATATATATATATATATATATATATATATATATATATATATATATATATATATATATATATATATATATATATAAATAATTACATTCAGGTAAAAATACATCTTAAAATACAAACATGTGGACTAATTTGGGCCATTGGATGTTGCGTATGGATGGCTGTGATTTGGGCGTACAGTTTAGCGTTAGTTTATTGTGTGTTTATGTTAAGAGGGGTATATATGGAATTTTACTTGTGTTGAATCCTAGTCAGATTAGGTTCAATTTCACGCGCACGTCTGGTGTCTTCATATTCTTCTGTGTGTTCTCTTGTCGTGCGTAGGGAATGTGTGGACGAGCTTGGCGAATCGCGTCGGCTTCTCTCGTTTGCCGCCACTGCAAAACAATGGTGTTACTCCTGATGGTGCATCCCTTGTTTTGTGGAGGCTAATTCAAGTAGGCATTAACTACGCATAAGGATTTAGTATAGGAACTTTAACTGGAATTTGTTTTTGTAGTGTAAAATGACTATAATTTTGTAGAAAGCATCAATAGCTGCAGGTCTATATCTAATCATGTGCCAAACTTGAATATGCAGTTTTGATTTGAACTCTAGCAAATGGATTCACTGTCGTTGTTTATTAAAAGGAGGGGAAAAAAACAGTTTCAAATGTGTTAAATTCACATCCAGCAAATATTAAAGTTTGCTCTTTTAGCGTTGAAAATGTATATTATATTTTGCATTTACCTGCGTCTAGAAGATTTTTTTTTTTTTTTACTGATTCATAATGATAGGGCTAAATGGGATAGTATTTGATGGATGATCGATAGGAGTTAGTTTTTGAATGTTAGTGCACGCTAATCCCTGACTGTGTGCACGGCTTCATGGTCGCCTTCTTTGTCGTTAGTGAATGTCCTTTGACTGTATGACTATGTTTGTGTGTTTTTTGCCATCGTATGGTGTTTTTTTTAATGTGTGCAGGCTTGCCTATTACTGTGTGCACGGGGGAAAACTTGTATTTTTTTTTATGTTGGTTTTGATTATCAATTTGCCAAATCAGAAATTGGGGGTGAGGGGAAGCTTCTGCCGCGGGGGTGGGGGTTGTTTTGGGTGTTCATTTCGGTTGTTTTTTACTTCTCTATTAATTTTTGCTGCTTTTCTATACAATAAAAAAGATACAGTGTCGTTATTAATTTGATTTATTGTGTTGGAGGTGTTTGCATGGCTTGTCGTAGTTGTGTGCTCGCCCTTGTTGTTTGTCGGGTTTAGTTTGGTGTGTGCGTTCTGTGTTTACTCCGGTGCCTAGGCATGTGCAGGGGTTGGAATTGAACGACAACAAGTAGATGTTGGTAGTTCTCTCTTTGAATTTTAGAGATGGCACTAAGGATGATGACTTAGCATAATGACATTATTTTCCCTTTTTTTTTTTTTTTAATTTGCTGTAAAAAAAAAAAAAAAAAAAAAAATGAGAAGATGGGTTTGCCTATGAGAAGAGGATGAAAAGATTTAGGGATAAAATTACCTTTTAGAATGATGTGCGAGGAAAAGATTTAGGGGTAAAATTACCTTTTAAAATGATGTGCGATTAGCCATATGAAAACACTAGTGCAACCAGTATTTTGAAAATCAATTTATTAGTACAATCAACTGAACCAATAAATTTATCAAAAAAAAAAAAAAAAACCTTAACCAATAAGTTAATTTATCACTTACCAGACACCCATTTTAGCTATTTGACCAAGTTAAATAACTACTTCTTAAAATTATTCAAATAAGTTAATTTTTTGTTAATCAATCATTTACCAATCAAGGCCTAAATCTTTAATCATGAATTCAATTCTTATATTTGTAATTTGTAATTGATTTTTTTTTTTAAAAAAAAAAACTATATATTCACACCTTTAATCATGAATTGAATTCAACTTTCAAAAAAAAAATCATGAATTGAATTCTCATATTTGTAATTTGTAATTGATTTATATAAATAAAAAAAAAAACTATATATTCACACCTTTAATTGCGCCTGTGATTGAAATTAGACTTCCCTCCAAGTAACTTCCAAATATGTTGGAAAACTTTGAACAGTTAAAACACGTGGGTTGAGATCTGCCTCTCACAAGTCACCAAAAGCCACCAAATTGGAACCAACCAACCGTCCAGATACAGAAAGGCAGAAAGAAGGAAAAAACACCCATCTCTGAATCTTCTTGAATCTTTCATCCGTTTATTCATAAACTATCTGGTTGGAGAATTTTGGACCTCAAAATTTTATTTATTATCGTAAAAATAAAAACATTTCTGATAATCGGTAAACACACTCCAAACAAATAGCAAGAATATTTTTATTTTTATTATTATAAATATTAAAAATGAGGAAAAGGAAAAAGAACCTTTTTCTTTTTTTCCTTCTTGAGTTTCCGTCTTTGTCTAGATCACCTCACTTCCGTAACCTGCAAAGAAATCAAAGTTGAACCTGCTACCCTTTTAGTATAAGGGCATGAATCTCTAAATTCACCTGCCAATCTCCAGCTTTCTTGAAAACCCACTTCTCTTTTCTTGCTTTTCTCCAGGTTTCTTGAGAACCCATTTCTGCTTCCTTGATTTTCGCCACAGGGTTTGTTGTGTCTCAGTTTCATTGGAATTCTTGATTCTGGGTGTCAGTGATGGGGACTTTGGGTGTAGTGGTTTCATCAATGGTGATGGACTCTCATTCCAGTCCATGCTTGTGTTTGGATGCTCTGCCTTCGTGTAATCTGAGCAGTGGGGATTTAGCTTTACATAGGAATTCTTCTTCAACATCACTCTGCAGAAGGCAGATTAAAACCCCAGGTTCATTGGAATTGAGCACTTCATTTCTGGATAGGAGGGGGTTGGGTAAAGGGCAAAGGGGAAATTTCAGCAGTTTGAAGAAGCAGAAGCAGCCAAAAAAGAGGGGCTTTACAGTGGTGAATGAGTTGGGTGGTCAGTATGAAGAGACATTTGAAGATGTGAAATCAGTAAGAACATTCCATTCCATTTGCTTAAAGTTAATGTACTTACAACCAATTTATTCACAGCTCATGAAATGCTCATTGCCTGCAGCAAATTCTCAACTATTTCACATACAAAGCTGTGATGACTGTTCTAGACCAGCTTCAGGAAATGAACCCTCCACAGTATCAATGGCTCAATGGGTAAGCCCATCATCTTCCAATGTTTCACCTGTCAAGTTTCCTTGTCTTAATAGGGCAACTCCAACCAAGTTGGTCAAGTTGTTTACTTGATAACCACAAGGTTACAAGTTCGATTCCCGACGGGAGCGGCTTGGTTTAACCCGGTCAGCAATGGACAATGTTTACCTCTTTGTAATCCTTTACTGATTAGGATCACAATGCGGGGTTTACTCATACTAACTCCGGGTTTCTTTCGTCACCCAAAAAGTTTCTTTGTCATAATAGCTTAAGTGCTTCTCTACATCATTGAATATTTAAGTCTGGAAAGACTCACCTTGATTGAAGTTGTGAATGACTAGCCGGTACCGGAGTTGTTCCAAATTTCTGATACATGCATCTCAATAGGCTGTTGATTCTGCAGATTTATAGAAACAAATAAGCCTAGAGATGGGAAGCATTTCATTCGCAATCTTGTAAAGGTAATCATATACAAACCCTTGAATGCCATTTATGAATGTCTTATGTTTACTTCAACAGTATCATAGACATTACCATTGTGGGAAGTGGCAGAACAAAGAAATGGATAAAGGCAACAGCTGATTGTCATCTTATTACAGGAAAAACAAGACCTTGCAGAAAGAGTGATGATAACACGACTGCACCTCTATGGAAAATGGATAAAGGTATGAAATCCAAGTACTAAATGTTTTCCACCAACATTGCCTTGAAACTATGCAAAGCACATGGTAAATTGGAATTTAATGCAATTTTGTATCCTGTTCTGTTCTAGAAATGCGACCATGATGAACTGTATAACCAAATATCTGATCAGAACTTGGAGGTGATGCGTGAACGACTCATGGAGACAGTGATTTGGCCATCAGATGACACAAATACAGAGGTGGTTGGGTGAAGGAATGGGAGCTCTACTGCCATCACCCAAGTTCTTTCATGTTTTCATTTCATTTCATTTCATTTCTTATGGCTGTAACTTAATAGTGTAGGTGTGTGCTTAGGAGGATTTGCTAAACAGTGTTTTATTTTATGCTATAACAGTCATAAGCAATCTTAGTTTTAATACCAAATGGAAATTTGTGCATAGAAATTCCATGTATCAGTTTGATTCTATTTTTGGATACAAACTATACAAATCTTATGCCTTATGGAATGATGAATCCCTATTGGAAGGCCATTCAGAAGATGAAAAGGGGTTTAAAAAAATTAAAGGCAACAAAAAGGCAATAAAGATGAACACAAAAAAGTAATGTGCAAATGCCACAACCAAATAATCTTAAATCACATCATAGGTATTGGATGCATACCATGCTCTTGTTTGCAAGACTGTTTAGTCACTTTCTGGAAGATCCCCAATCCAGGACTCAGATTCAAGCAACTCTTTACCATCCAAACTCACCAGTAATCCTTGCATGAGCATACACCATTAATGAAGTGATGGAAACGATTTCCATCCCTCATAACTATCTCTCTCCCAGTCACTTCAGAAACATATTTACTAAATTCATGGCAATCACCACAAATTCGTAAGTTTTTAATGATCAAAATTTGCCCCCCTGCTCTTACATTGATCAGTCCAAAAGCAATTGCCAGCTTCTCACTGTGGCTAGAGATCCGCATGAGTTTCTCTTCTTCAGATTCATCATGAAGAACCCAACGAAGATCTGGTACATACCCTCTTTCCTTAATCAAAGACAATAAGGAGTTCAACTTCTTGTAAATTTCGACACATTGAGGGTGAGTTTTGTCTCCTGCAATAAATTGATGGACTTTGTTTCTGGTCAGAATCCAACTCTTTCCCGGAGGCTTTACCAAACCCTTTTCCTCAAGCATGGCTCTTAATCTGCTGACCTCAGTCCAAAGGCCAGCTGCTGCATATATATTTGATAACAAAACGTAATTGCCAGCATTCATTGGTTCAAGTTCAACGAGCTTTTCAAAGATAATATTTGCATGTTTAGTTTCACCATACACTCTACAGCCACCAAGGAGAGCTCTCAATACAGATGCATCTGGTGAAATTGGCATTGAGTTAATAAAGTTCCATGCTTCATCTAATAAACCTCCGCGTGCCAAGAGATCAACCACACAAGAATAGTGCACAAGTTCAGGGATCATGCCAAATTCATTAACCATCGAGTGATAAAGTTGCAATCCATCCTTTATCAACCCTGAATGGCTGCATGCAGATAAAGCAGATACAAATGTAACTCCAGAGGGGGAGAATCCATTCTCTAACATTTGAGAGTACACAAGCATAGCATCCTGTCCTCGCCCATGCATGCCATAGCCTGCTATCATGGCATTCCACGAGACAATATTTTTCTTTGGTAAGGCTTTAAAAATTTTCTCAGCATATTGCATACACCCACATCTTGCATACATAGATATGAATGCATTTGCCATTGATAGATCAAAACCAAGTGAGGATGCCCTTCGCATTGCATAAGCATGTATGCACTGTCCTTGATGAAGATGGACAAGATGTGTACATGAATTGAGAGCATTTATTATTGTAGCCAAATTAGGTTCCACTTGAATAACCATGTGGTGGAAAATCAATAGAGCTTTGAATGGTTCACCGCAGTTGACATAATTGGCAATCATAGCATTCCATGAGACTACATCTTTATTACCAAAACTCTCAAACAAATTCATAGCCGTTGCTTCATCGCTGCATTGCATATACATTTCTGTGATAGCAGTATTAACTTGTGGGTCACTGTCAAGGCATTGCTTTATAGCATAACCATGTATTGATCTGCCCACACATAGAAATGTATCATTACTGCAAGCACTGAGGACTGAAATAATTGTATGAGAGTTAGGTTTGACATCCGTTTCATGCATCTGACAGAACAACTTAAATGCTTGATTGCATAGTTCATTGTGTGCCAATGCTGAGATCATAATGTTCCATGACATTACATCCAAATTTTTTGTCTTACTGAATATTCTCAGGGCATCTTCAACACAGTTTAACTCTCCATACATACTTAACAGTGCATTTATAGTGTACATGTTATTTTCAACTCCAAGTTTAATTACCTGACCATGCAGGCTATTCCCAAATCTCAAACCATTGGCGAAGCTAAGACATAATGGGAGCATAATCGCAATTGTTCTCTCATCTACATTAATGTCTTCCACCTGCATTTTGTTTATCAATTTTACTGCTTCTTCAGTGCAGCCTCTCTCAACGTATGCAGAAATCATAGAATTCCACAAGGCAGTATCTTTGGTAGAAGAAGATTGAAATAAAACATAAGATGTTTCTGTATATCCCATCTCACTATACATGTTTATCAATGCATTCACTACATTGAGATCTTTGTCATACCCACATTTCACTGCCAGTTGATGGACTTGCATACCCAATTCAACTGACCCAAGTTCACCACATGCCTGTATGACAACTAGAATTGTCACAGGATCATAGTTCAAACCTTTCTTAAGCATTGCAGAGAAATTCTTTAAAACATCCATATAATCCCCATTATCAAGAAAACCACTTAGCATTGCATTCCAGCTTGCTATACACCTCGAAGCTAATGATTCAAGAACCCTATATGCAACCTCCACATCAAACCTTGAATAAAACCCAATCAAAGAAGTAGAAACATGTGCATTCCTATCCAAGAGTCCATTTCTCAAACAATACCCGTGAATCCCCATCCCAAGCCTAAAGTCCGAGAGCTCCCCGGAAGCAATAAGCAATGACACCGCTGTCCTCGAATTCGGTCTCAAATTTTCCCTCTGCATCTCCTTAACCAAACATAAAGCCACCTCATATTCCCGGCACTCCACGCTCCCAGAAATCATTGCGTTCCAAGAAACCACATCTTTCTCGGGAATTCCATCAAACGCATGGAGTGCATCTTCAAAACTGCCACACTTGCAGTAAAAGTCAATCAGAGCAGTACCCACTCTCACATCTTCAATCAAATGCGTGCCATTGATGTCTCCGTGAATCTTCCTCCCTCTTTCGACGGCCTGCAACTTGCCGCATGCCTTGAGAACGAGGGGCAGCGTAGTGTTGTCCGGGAAAATGCCCAGTGATTCCATCTGGGTATATGTCTTGAGTATCGCATTATCGTTTTTCAGCTTCGCTTGGCGCTTGATGATTGAGTTCCATTGTCTGGAGTGGTCGGGATGGAAGTTCAGTGTTGTGAGTGCTTCCATTGTTGCCTCGAAAAATCGTTATGAGCGGTTAGGTCAACTATTGAAAATGTAAAAGGAAAATGAATACGTTAAATTATTACAGTATTATTATTTTTATTTTATTTATAAAAAATAAAAAAAAAAAAAAAATTGCGACCCAAGCCCGAGTAAATTAGAGGGAAATTTGTAGGGATTGTTTACTAAAATAGAAAAATTGAGAATTCTTTGGAAAAACAGAAAATTGAAGAGGTTAAAAAATGAAAAATAAAAAATTTGTTTACTAAATTTATTTTTCTAAATGTCTATTCTATCTCCATTCTTTACTTCTCTTATAAATTTTGAAGAACTAAGAAACAAACTTCTCCAAATGAAAAAATAAAATAAGTGGATGAACAATAATTGCCGAGGACTTGGGTTCAAATCTTGTTGGCGCCGGTGACTCTTATTTTCAGTCCTTAGGCTTGAAGCACCTCTTTTTAGTCCAGTAGTTATTATTTTATGGAAAAATGGTAAAAAAATGTCCTTTTATAATATGTCATCCATGAATTATGAGTGGTGTAAATGTTGCCCTTCAATTATCAAAACGGTGCACATATAGCCCCTCCTGTAACAGACATGTGTTTCCCCGTTAGTGTACAACACCGTTAAGTCGAAGCAAATATATAATTTAGTTGTTTTTCCCTCCCTCGATTCAAAGTACCAGCGATGGATAGCGGTGGGAACCACAGGTCCGTTACGGGAGGGGCTATATGTGTACCATTTTGATAATTGAGGGGCAACATTTACACCACTCATAATTCAGGGGTGACATTGATAATTGACATATTATAGAGGGGCATTTTTTACAATTTTTCCTTATTTTATTATTCAGTATCTACTTTAGTTTCCTTGAAATGAAACTAATTTAGTTGTGCTTATTCAATATCTAAAATGAAATTAAATGTATCACAAAAAAAATTGAATAACTTGTCACGCATAAAATAAAATAAAAAAAAAACTGAATAATTTGTCTCGCAATTGAAATGATACTTTAGTTGTGTTAAATTGAAACTGAATAACATGTCTCATATATTGAGTGTATATCGTCAAATAAAATTGTAGTTGAATTGAAATTATACTTTTGTTTTGCTGAAATGACAAATTGAAATTATACTTTAATTTTGCTGAAGTGAGAACTACTGTATGTATAAAAATAAACTAAAAAACATGTCTCACATGTTGCGTATATTGTCAAATGAAATTGTAGTTATATCAAAATTATACTTTAGTTGTGTTGTAATAAAACTATAGTGTATATAAAATGAAATTGAATAACATTTTCACACATTTTAATGTATATTGTCCAATGAATCGTAGTTGAATTATAATTATAATTTAGTGGTGTTGTAATCAGAGTGCAATGGGTATAAAATGAAATTCAATAACTGGTCTCATTGTAACAAGACTATTGTATATATAATGTCAAATGAAATTGTAGTTGGAACAAAATGATTTTTTCTTTTGAATAGTTGTACTTAAATGAAACTACAATGTATATAAAATTGAACTGAGTATGTTATACAAACAGAACTAATTACACAGAACGTGTGTCGTTTATTTTCATTACATTAAAAGAAATGACACCGTTTTGGACCATGGTCCACAGTAAAATTTGCCTCAAAACTCCCTACAGGCCGCGATCCAACGGCCCCAAGTCCAAAACGACGCAGTTTGCGCGTGTGAAAATAACAGTGCCGTTAGTGGCACCGTTTTCTCAGCCAATGATTTTTTTATTATTATTGAAAACAACTCAGCGAGTGAATATTTAGTTTTGTAATTGTGAATATAGAGTTCTTTAATTGTGAGTATAGAGTTATGAAATTGTGAATATAGAGTTCTGAAATTGTGAATATAGAGTTCTGTAATTGTGAATATAGAGTTCTGCAATTGCGAATATTGAGTTCTGTAATTTTGTATATTGAGATCTAAAATTGTGAATATTCAGTTCTAAAATTGTGAATATAGAGTTCAAAAATTGTGAATATAGAGAAACGAATTCTGAAGACAAACGGAAAGTTAACGGCAAGGAAGGAAGCAATTTTATTTTAATTCGAACCGCATCGTTTTGAAGCAAAACCAATCATTATGCCGTGCAACCACGTGCACCATGCATGGTGTACACGGTTGCGAACGACGTCGTTTCACTATGGTGGAGTAACGATGCCGTTAATGGCACTTTTTAACTCCACCAATTAATTTTTTTTTTCTCAAACCATTGTCAACTGAGGTTTACTTCTTCTTCATGTATTATGCATTTTATGGATATATAGTTCATTAATTCTGAATTTATAGTTCATTAATTCTGAATATATAGTTCATTCATTCTGAATACACAGACGCAACGAACTGCCATAAGCCAAAATAGAGTACCAGTAACTGGTGTGAATATATAGTTCATTAATTCTGGATATATAGTTCAAATTATACACAGCATAACGCCGTTAACGGTAATCGAAAATGATTTTTTTTTTATAAGAGTCGGACAGCGTCGTTTTTAATCAAAACGACGTCATTTTACAACCGTGTGCACCATGCATGGTGCACACGATTGCACGGTATAATTTGCCAAGCAAAACGACGTCATTTTAGACCGGGTCCATAGCATAATTTGCCAGATCGAACAGAGCTTGATAATAGAATCATTAGGCTCATAATTTATAATGTTGGCCCAAACATAATAACTCAACATAAGCCCACTAGGGCTGTTGTCTTCTACGGAGTATTACATAAGGAATGCGCTTCCATTACTCAAAACCCTAGTGGCCACTCTCAGCTCCGGATTTCAGTTTGATCGCCGAACTGAGAATTCCACCGCCGGCGGCCCAAAATGGTGCACGTCAACTTTTACCGGAACTGTATGTTTCTCAATTTTTTATTTTTATCCTCCTTTCTCCCACAGGTGTCCCTACATTTTTGTGTCTGTATACGCGTTTTTCGTTGATATATTCATGTATGCCTCTATGTGTATGAATTGATATCTATTTTGATATATAAGTTTTAATTGTACTGGCATGTGGTTGGCTCAGTTCGTTTAATCTTGGTAACTTGGTAATCTCTGGCCTCTGGTCAGTGCATTGTAGTTCAAGTTTGTTATAATTGCAGTCTTCAGTGGAACAATGGGATTTTTCTTATCAATTATCTTAGATTTTCAGTGTTTTGGATCGAAAGCTTGTTATGGGTAATCTGGGTATCTCCTAATGAATGTAATGATAGAATAAGCATTTCTGTGTGGATCTATGCTGTATATCATCTTGGTGTGTCTATGAAGGTGCTAAGCTTTAGAAATTTTTTGTTTAATCCATTCCAGTTGATGCCAACTAAGACTATGTTTTGTTCTATACATGAACTTTAACAGCTTTTAGCCAGACTATTGTATTGAACTAATACAGGCAACACAAAATTCTGTCTTTTTAGTTATTCCAGATAATAACAAATAAGTGCTCTTTATCAGTCTGTTCTTGATAAGACTTCTGCTAATACTATGTGCTATATTGAATTTAGATGGGAAGACATTTAAGAAGCCTCGTAGGCCATATGAGAAAGAGCGATTGGATGCTGAGTTGAAGCTTGTTGGTGAGTATGGACTTAGGTGCAAGAGGGAACTCTGGAGGGTTCAGTATGCATTGAGCCGTATCAGGAATAACGCAAGAATGCTTCTCACACTCGATGAGAAGGACCCAAGGCGTATTTTTGAGGGTGATGCCCTTTTGAGAAGGATGAACAGGTATGGCTTGCTTGATGAGAGTCAGAACAAGCTTGATTATGTCCTTGCCCTAACTGTGGAGAACTTCCTTGAGCGCCGTCTCCAAACTCTTGTGTTCAAGGCTGGCATGGCAAAGTCAATCCATCATGCTAGGGTGCTCATTAGGCAAAAGCACATCAGGTATGTCACTTTTTATATGATTTATATAGTTCTAGTTTGGGTCTTGCTTCCTTTCTGGCTTGACCTCTACAACCCGTTGGTGGTGAAACATAGAGTTGTCTGTGTAACCAAAGCATTTGTGAATGAAGTAGTTAACTGTCAGTTATGACCACTGTCATCCATTCCTGGCCATTGAATGATGGCAAGCCAGAGATTGCCTTCGGGTCATGCCACCAATTCATTCAAGGGTATTTAGATAATTTTATTAGCTGTTCGTTTTCCATTCCTAACCCACTTAGTGCTTTATATTCCTTTCTGCCAACCAAACCATGGAATTATATTCCTTTTGAATTCCTTCATTCCAATTCCTCTGTTTTCATTTAATGAACCAAACATGCCTTTAATTCTTGTGTAATTCTTTATAATCATATTTTTTAAAGGTTTTAACTATGAAACATTGAAACCTCTTTCTCACTCTGGCTTTCTTCACTCTTCTTTCCCTACCTTGATATGGCTTAAAAAGAAAAGAAGCCCTAGGAAAGATGATTGCATTCCTTTGCACATTTTGTAGGACATCTATAGCAAAGTATCTCTTTATTGTCTCTTTATCCCCCTCCATTTATCACAAGGAAGATATTAGCTGGTTATTCTATAAATTTCTGACTCTGTACTTGTGTTTTTATTGCTTCAATTCAGTTGTGTGGGAAGATAGATTCTATGATGGTGTGCAGTCTCTCATTGAAATTTAGGCACTCGGTACATTTAGCCATGGTATTCAAGTCTTTTTTTTGTACTTCAGGGTTGGAAGGCAGGTTGTGAACGTCCCCTCCTTCTTGGTCAGAGTGGACTCGCAGAAGCACATTGATTTCTCACTGTCCAGTCCTTTTGGTGGCGGTCGCCCTGGTAGGGTGAAGCGAAAGAACCAGAAGGCAGCTGCCAAGAAGGCTGCTGGCGGCGATGGAGATGAAGAGGATGAAGAGTGAGTGAGGTGCTTTTGTTGCTAATCAAAAACCAAAGAATGAAATTCTTCTTACATTCTGTTTTGGATTTTTGTTACACTCTACCTCCAAGTGGAGAGGCTTAGCTTGGAATTTTTCTCTTTTTGTTTTTACTTTCTATTTATGTTCCTTGTTACTTCAACTTTTAAATATCCTTTTAGAACTTTTCCTCAGTGCTCTTCATTTTCATAACCCCCCTCGTCACTTTGTTACTATTTGATTAATCTCAAGGCAGTAAGACAATTAGATTATAGCCGAATATGTGAAAAAGGGTTATCACTTATCAGAGGTTCCTTGTTTTAGTGACAATTTCAAATTTAGTATCTTACTATTGTTTTTGTCATTTTACATCCTAGATTGTCTTTTTGATTTTTTCTATTTTTAGTAAGGGTATTTTTGTCTTTTTATATTTTTCTTTAGTTATTTTTTTAGTTGTAACTTGTTTAATTGGTTTAGAATTTTACTAAAAATCGATTAAAAAATATGGTTACTAAAAATAAAAGGTTATCTAAAATTTTAAACCAAAACTGATTTAAATTGAAAAAATAACAAAAGAAAAATATGAAGAAATAAAAATATCTTTATTGAAAATAGAGAAAGTCATGAGAATGACTAAAAGTATTCAAAAAATAATAGTCTGAGATATAAAATGACAAAAATATAAAATTACTATCAAAGACAAGGGACCTGTGGAATTAACTTTTATGTGAAAAACTTAGAAGGGAGGGCATTCATTCTTTATTAATGTTATATAAATATAGAATATTCTGAATAGCATGAAATGAGAAATTGTGTGCAGAATTTGTAAGGAAGGGGTAATTTGAAAATAGTATAAAAAATCGGGGTCAATTGCATAAAATGACTTAATTTATGAAGCTTTGTGAGCAAAATTGCAAGAAAAGATAAATTTCAAGTCAAGTCCCAACGTCATCTCACCTTCCCCATTTTTTGTTCATTGAATTCTAGAGCATTAATATCAGTTTAGAATTATTCACAAATTTTTTATGAGCATACAAGAAAAGAGAATAAACAAATAGAAGAAAAAAGAAAAAAGAAGAAAAAGGAGAAAAACTGACCACGTCCGTCTAAGGAAAATGAGAAAAGCTGACCACGGACGGAATTAAAAAAAAAAATAATAATAACCAAAAATGCGTCAGAGGGCACGCTCCCTACATGTTACGCGTAGTGATTTAGTCTTGCAATGCATTTTCTCTCACATGGTGATCCCACAATAAACTTAACATTGCAGGAGAAATAACTTGCAAAAGAACTTCTCCACACTTGTTAAAAACTCCTCATAGGTTTATTGATATGCCCTGAACCAAGTAATAACTTTTGATGTGGATGCTCTTAAGCTCATCCATGATCACATCATATCACATGTTTTTTTTTTTTTTTTTTTTTTTTTTCTTTTTGAATATTATTGACTCTATATGATATATACTTTCTCTAACTACTGCAGCCCAAAGAGTCAATATCCCACCATTAGAGTTTGATCTTGTGAGCTTCCCTTGAGGTGTCACAGAGGTGTCAGAGCACAAAGTGCTTGGCTATGACATAGCTTATTAGTAAAGCTAAATACTAGCTTATACCAGTCTCGTATAGTATATTAGTTATAAAAACTTCATCCAAGTCAAAACGCAAAAAATCGTTTCTTTAAAATAAACGCGGCAAAATTGAGCAAAAAATAAAGATCCACTATGTGTCAAAATTTGTAAACATACAAGCCTCAAGCCTGAGCTTCAACTATGAATGAACCTAATGCTGTGTATACCATCCTCAACTATATGATATGATATGTCCGTCCATCAAAGTATTATTCCTTAATGAAAACTATGAATGGGTCACCAAAACATCCTTAATCTTGAATAACCACCAAAACTAGGTTGGTAGAGCATATCATGCTACCAAGCTGGCTCTACCACAATCCGATCGCCTTCCACCAAATTCCTCCCACTCCAAGCCAGATAATGATATTAACGACAGAGATCAAGAACCCATAGCCCCACCATTTTGCAAGTGGAACGTAGTTTGCACCATAGAACACGGGTGCTGATCCTATACCGTAGTGTGTGAGGCCACCCATGATGTTAGAGAGGAAGGCGAGTACCAAGGCTCCCAAGTATGGCGGGGTACCTAGAGCGCTAGCTACCGACAAGAATGCTGTGAACATGGCTCCAATGTGAGCAGCTCCACTAGCAAAGAAGTAGTGAGAGTAGAAGTAGAGAAGAACTAAAATGCCAAAAGACAGTTGCCATGAAAGGCCTAATCCCCCAACAACCTGCAATTAAAAAGAATAAATCATATTTGCAATGGACAATGAGTAAATTACTCAGTTGGCATTCCTATCCTATGCCAACCATGTGGTGCTAAATTTTCAAAAGTAGATGCAAATATGCAATTTAAACCACTGTCAATTTGTCATTTCAATTCAAGTTCAGCTAAAAGACTAGGAAATATAAATAGGTGGTGGTTCTGGAAACATCATGAGATCAATGACTCAGAATATCAAAACAGAATGTGAATATTCATAATTTTAAAAACAATTTATACTAACACAACAGTATAAAAGTTTAGACTTGGTCCTAAATGTTTAGATACAAACTCACATGAGAAAAACAAATATGCATGTGAAAGTGTGAAATGGATGATACTAGAAAACAATTAAATAATAAGGAAACATTGATTATTTTGTTAGTGAAAGTATCATGGGGACCCAAAAAAAACCGAGCAGCAAATGGACATAACAATTTATCAAAAAGAGCAGAATAAACTACAAGATTGTGCAACTGTAGTCTAGAAGAAGAAATCAGAGAAAACAAACCTTAACGACAGTCTCACTAAACCATGAGATAAGGCCATATTTGTTGAGATAACCAGCCATTGCAATGAGTGCAGCAAACCAAGTCAGGGTATCCCAAGCAACTGCTTCGGCTAAGCATTCCTTCCATGTGACAACTCCAGTCACAAGGAGGACAGATAATCCAAGTATTGCAGCAGTAACAGCATCAACATTTAACTTACTACCAAAAACCCAGAGTCCCACCTGAACAAGGCAGAAAGGAAAAAAATTTAGAAAACAAAAAATTGAAGGTACATCTACAAAGTTACAAAATGAGGAAGTATTTAGCTTCATCGTTTAAAAAGTATAATAACAGAGTGGAAATTGTCCAATGTTAACAGAAAATAGAAATTGCAATCAGAGACTGAGGAAACTTGAATGGAAATTTTTAAAATCAAATTGGCTTTATCATAAAGCAAACCCAAATGAAAGATTAGATAAAAATAAACCTAAAGTTCGTCGTTGTAGAAACAGCTTGACCAGTTGACCTCTTGAAACTTTCAGCAAAGATGTAAAAGCAGAAACTTGACCCTATGACATGACATTACAAATCCCTACAATCCTGTAGACATGGATACTGTACCATGATCTCTACAGACCACCATGCTGATTAAATGCTAATTACCTCAAATGGGTGGTTATTTAATACTGTGTATAATAACCCTTATGGCTTTACATAGGGTTGAGAAATCTCCATACTCCAGAGTAGCTTTGTTTTCTTAGTTCTAAGCTCATTACAACTTACAAGAATATCAGCTACCAATGAATAACTTTTGAGCCATCTTACCAATCAGAACTTTCCATTCCATACTTCAATTTGAAAAACAAGGCAGGCAAAACGCATATATTGAAAACACAAAGTCTACATAGAGGATCAAATACAATTACATTGTACTATGTTCCAAGTTGATTCTATCATCTGGCATCAATCGGAACCTACTGCGTATTGATCATTAAATATGAACTATTCAAATTTCAATTCTGACACTTTGCATACTTATCATGTATAATCCTAATCCATTCATTTTACTTACAATTGGAAACAGTAAAGAAATATAAACAAAGCAGGACAAGCAGGCAAATACTATCAATGCAAAGCTGACCGGGAACGAAATCTTTACCGTAAGTAGCAGAGTTCCGGCCATAATGATCTCATTCTTCGACATTGGTCCCATCTTCTCCAATTTCTCCCTTGCAAGCTTAGGTGCATCGGGACTACTCTTTACTGTTGGTGGATAGATAATGTACAACAGCAATGGCACAACAACCAACGACACCAAACCAGGCACAATGGCAGCTTTAGCCCAATCCATCCACCCAATTGTCTGACCAATGGTGGTGGAAGTCAAATTGGCGCTCAAAGGATTGGCAGCCATTGCCGTCAAGAACATGGATGAGGATATCACTGATGTCTGGAAGCAAGTTAACATCAGCCACGATCCCAGCTTGTTCTCCGTTCCATCACCGACGTTGCTGCCACAAGCCACACAAAGAGACTTCACCAGCGGCAAGAAAATGCCTCCGGCCCTCGCGGAAACAGACGGAATCGCCGGCGCTAATAGAGCTTCACTGAACACTAAACTGTAGCCTAATCCTAAAGAAGAGCTACCGAACAAGGAAACGAACTGATACGCGATTCTATTCCCCAACCCCGTTTTAATGAACCCGCGCGCGAAGAAAAACGCGAGGGCGATTAGCCAGGGGATGGGATCGCCGAAGGCGGAGAACGCGGCGGCGAAAGTGAGGGTTTTCGTCAACACGCACGCGCCGAGCCCCATCAACGCCACGGCGCCCAGGGGGAGAGGCTGGGTAATGATTCCCACAATGGTGGCGAGGAAAATCGACAGCAGCTGCCACGCATTCCGCGAAACTCCACCTGGTTGCGGAACAAGCCAGAGCACGACTCCGGTAGCGATGGAAGCAATAAGTGGCTTAATCGCCGCGCCCTGCCAAGGCTGCGCCACCTGCTGCTTCGGAGCTGCCAGGACCGCCGCCGAACCGGATGCACCCGCCGCCGCCTTCACCACGTGGTGCTGCAGGCGGCGCCGCGCATCACAGCATTTGAGCGAGGGAGTGAGCAACGCTTTAGTTTCGTCGGATTTGAATCTGAATTCCCGCGATCGAGCAGAACAGAGACGAGGCTTGTCACCAGGGAGTGGCCGGAGACGGAGGCTCACGGCGGAGGTGAGGGCTAATGACGCCATCTTCCCGACGGAAAATTGGCTGCGGAGAGATCTGAGCTAGAGAGAAATGCGAACTCAGAAAGATTCAGAGAAGAATGGGAAAGTAAGAAAGAAAAGCAGGGGAAAGGGGAGAGAATAGATCTGGGCGGTTGGGAAATTGATCGGACGGTAGAGAGGTGCTTGACAATGGCATTGGCATAGTTAACTCCGTCACGGATTCGGTGAAGTCCGTCAGTCAATTCATCAGTTAGTTAAGGTGGCGGTGTGATCCATGCTAAGATGCGCCAGCTCACCGTCTTTTCAATTCACAATCATTTTATTCATTCCCACCAAATAATGTAATTTAAATTTTTATTTTATTCTTTTCCATAAAATTACAATTCTTTTTCTCCCTAATTCTTTCATTTAAACCAAATACCATATAAGAAATTAAGGATCCTTTACTAACTGAAAATTTTCAGAAATTGAAAAATAGAAAATAGAAAATATGTTTACTAACATAATTTTTCATTTTAAAAACTGAAAATAATTTCTGGAAATTTCTGGAAAACTGGAACACACTTAAAAAACTGTTTTCGAAATGAAAAACAGAATCATCTATCATCTATTTTGTTATATGTCACTATAATCACATTACTATGATTACATTCATTATCATCTTATTTTACTTATTCATATCTTCTATCTTTTCTATTTACTTTACTTATTTAAACATAATTTATTTGCTTATACTTTAAAGTAGACATTATTTACATTATTAAAATTAAGAATTAAACTCTATACAATGTTTTAGATTTTGATTGAACTCAATAGATTATTAGTTCGAATATTTTTAATTATGTTACATCATAATACAAGTTCGGTCCAGATATCGGATATTGAAATTTCACATATATTAGAATTCAAAGTAAAAGTTATACATTCATATACATGTTATTCAAATGAATATATATATATATATATATATATATATATATATATATATATATATATATATATATATATATATATAAAACTATTTTAAATATTAGTTCAAAAAATACAAATATTATCTAAACTAATTTTTTTGTGAAAATTAACAAAATTAGAAAACAGAAAATAGAGAACAGTTTTCTGTTAGTAAACAAGTTTTCTAAATAGAAAACAGAGAATGAAAACTAAAAAATTAGAAAACAGAAAACAGAGAACAGTTTTCTGTTAGTAAATGGACCCTTGGCGTTTAGTTGGGGGGATTTTAAATTCTCTTCCCACTTAATTCCCACCTAATTTCAAAGACCATTAAATTCCGTAGTTTGGTTGGAGGGAATTGCAATGGGTGTTGCTATTTCTACCCCTCTTTGACCAAAATGGGATAAAAAGTACATTGAAAATATAAAAAGTTAAAAACTTATAATAAATACATAGGTGGTGCAAATAGCCTAATGGGTGGTCAAAATGCTATTTGCACCACCTTGTCAAATTTGCAATTAATACTTTGATAATTTAAAATTTAATTAATTAATACATAAAAAAAAAAAAAAGACTCACCTTCTCCGGTGAGAAGGCAGCCCAGTGGGTCGCCTTCTCGCCGGAGAAGGCGACCCAGACAGATTTCTCCCTGGGTTGCCTTCTCCGGTGAGAAGGCACCCCACCGTGAGTTGCTTTCTCACCGGAGAAGGCAACCCAGGTAGTTTCTACCTGGGTCGCCTTTTCCGGTGAGAAGGCGACCCACTGGGTTGCCTTCTCACCAGAGAAGGTGACGCCTAGTTTTTTTTTTTTTTTTTTTTTTTTTTTTTTTTTTTTTAATAATTAATAATTTGATTGTAAATATATATATATATATATATATATATATATATATATATATATATATATATATATATATATATATATATATAATAATAATAATAATAATAATAATAATAATAATAATAATAATAATAATAATAATAATAATAATAATAATAAATATTAGTCTTTTGAACACATTAAATGATGGGGTGTAAATAGCATTTTTTAGTTAGCACCACCTATAAAGTGGTTTGACCTATTATGTAGGTGGTGCAAATAGTAAAAAGCGGGGTGTAAATAGAATTTCCCATTGCAATTCCATGGAATTGCAATTCCTCCATTTTCATGGAATTAAAATCCCATGTCCCCCATGAGATTTTAATTCCTAGGAAAAAAAGATAGTGATGAGTCAAAATTATCCCTTCTTTTTTTAACCTAAAATTAATGTCTAACAACAATAATGAACATTTTTGACTTTATACTACTTATTACCTTTCAATTCTCATGTATACCAAATATTGAAATTGAAATTCCCAGTAATTCTATTCCTGTCAATCAAACACTGGAATTTAAATTCTCACTTTATTCCCCGTAATTCAACTCCCATGGAATTACAATTCATTTCCCACATAATTTCCCCCCTCCAACCAAACGCCCTAATGTTTAGAGTCGCCTCAAGTAACATCATTGAATTTGAATTTTGTTTATAATTACTCATTTCGTCCTATTTTATGTGTCTGATTCGGTTAACGAGACTTGACCGAAGTTATTTTTATTCAATTTTTCATACCATTAAGTTTAGTATTAGTATACAAAATTTATATATTTAGAAATTACACTAAAAGTACTATTAAACACAAAAAAATTAAATATGTTCAAAAAATTAAATTTAAAAATAAGTAAATAATACTAAAGAAAATAAACAAAGAAGAAATAGTTGATTTGACCAATGAAGTAAGTAGGATAAATAAAATGGAACAGATGGAGTAATTGTTATAATTGCTTAGCGAAAATAACATGTTAATTTTTAGATTTTACATCTCAATTTATTAACGAGCCAATCTTTTAAAGTTTATGTTTCAGGGTCTATTGATGATGTGATAGGAAATATACCCTAGGCTTAGACGTCCTTGTATGTCCATGCTCTCATTAAGTATTCGGATCGGAATCAAGGATTAGAGTTAGCGGGTGAAAGTCAAACCCGTCTATGCCTATTCCTACTTAAAGTGGGTGCTCCATTTTCCTCTATTGGACTACTCTCTATTCCTAAGATGACTCCGGACACTCACAATCTCTCGAAAAGCACTCTATATTCTCTCTAAAGTCTAGTCATTGAAAAAGGAGGCTTCAATTCCCAGATTCCATTCTCTATTCTTCATAGATATTCATGCTTGTTCATACGCATGAAATACGAGACACATAAAATACATATTCCAGGCTATTTTTTCTACATCAAATGGCGCCGTCTGTGTGTGGGGATCCATACTAAAAGCTATGTTCCTCAACCATCAAGGAAAAGAAGTTGAATCTGCAATAAAAAATAAAAAAAAATGTGAGACTCGGGTTGCTGACAGAATCCAATCCAATCAATCCATGGCCGCAAGAGAATAATGGCCTCGCCAAAGATACAGGAAGATTATTATCCCCTCACTCACTGTAACACAAGCACAATCATCTAAATAGTACGGTTCAGAGTAAATATATACCCCCTCATTTCTCCTCCTTAGCTTCAATTCCATCCAAAAGCTGTACAGTATCAACATACAGCTGATCATCTTCTTCACCGTTGACCCCTCGTTTTCCCCGGCAAAGCAGCAAGCAACTCAGATGGAGAGTTCCACTCCACGCTGGTAGTGGCGGATGAGGTGATGGCTCTGGCATTCGTCTGATGTGTGTCTGGCTTGCATGCAGCGGGATTGGGTGTGAAAGGTGGCAGCACTATTTACTGAGCTTGGAAAATTGCAGTGTGGTTAAGTCAAATATTTGCTTCTGATGGAAGCAATAGTTTGAATTATTAAAATGGCATGGCAGGTTAATTTGGGTCCATGAATTTTAGTCCCTGGTTCGTTGGGCTTGAGTAGCACGGAAGCTAGAGTTTCTACACTTGTTCGAAGCGGTGGCCAGGAGCAAAATGTTTAAAATTTGTTACATTTTAATGTAATTTTAAATTATAATCTGTAGCTTGTATAGGCTATAGATTTGCATGTCAAATAGAATAAGTCTAGTTATGTTGGTATTATCACCCCCGGAACCCTAAGTCCGGTCAGATTGGTCTTGCCATCACTTGCATTATTAAGTCTGCGTCCGTCCCGGCACGGTTGATAGGCCAAAGCCCTATAAGCATATGCATTAAGCCCGGGGACAGTCCCGGCAGCAGTCGATAGGCCAAAGCCCTACGAACGTAGGCACTAAGCTTGGGAAAATTCCCAGCACTTGCCCGGTGGCCAAAGTCCTAAAAAATAGGCATTAAGACCGGGAAGAATTTCAATTCAACACCACACCTGCCCGAAAGTCAAAGCAATCATTAGATCGAAAAGCTTGATCCGTAGATCATTCCGGCTAAAGACCGCAAACTCCATCAAGTGCTCGAATTCACCAGTTCGAAGCCATGACCAAGTGAAGTAGAGTTTTTTAGAACTTGTAAATTACTAGTTTAAGTTACTTTGTAAATTGTACCATATATATAGCAATAAGCAGGCATTAAGTGTACATAAGCCTGGTCAGGTCGGCCTCACCACCACCGGTGCTCTAAGTCCGGTTAGGTCGGCATTGCCACCACCGGCGCTATAAGTCCGGTTAGGTCGGCATTGCCACCACCGGCCCAGTTAGCCCGATATCGCATCTCGGCATAAGACCTATGAAGTAGGCAGTTAAATCCGGTTAGGTTAGTATTGCCACCACCGGCCCGATTAGTCCGAGACCGTATCTCGGCGTTAAGCCTTACGAAGTAGGCAATTGAGCCCACAAGGTCGGACTTTCCACCTCTGGTAAATCCAATCTCTTGATTGGTAGATTAATCACCTGGTCACGTTAAAAATCTGATCGCTCGATCAGTAGCGTTCAATTCCCCTATCATGTTAGAGATCTGATCTCTTGATAGGTCAGTTTAGACCTTGTAAATCCCAAAGCCCTACAAGTTAGGAAAAAGACCATCGCTACTATAGGTATGGTCCGATACATCGGCATCGTGAGCTCGATCGTGTAACTTCCCGATCACTTCGAGAAGACGTCGTATCTACTCCCTTATGTTGATGATTCTCGCAACATAGGGAGCAGGGGGCTAGTGAT